GGAGAACCGGCAGGAGGCCAGGTGGCCCGGTAGAAGACCTCTTTGGGGTCCTTGGGGTGGGGGTGGGGGACTCAAAGTGCTCCTTCTCCCAGTCTGCCACACCAACCCGTGCCTCAACGGGGCGCGCTGCCTAGAGGCCGAGGGCCACCGCCTGTGCCAGTGCCCTTCTGATTATGCCGGAAGCCTCTGCGAAGTGGGTGAGTGGGGGTGTTGGGGAAAGCAGATGTCCAGCCCCCACTTGGGAAAGGCTTGTGGAGAGGAACGAGGGAGATTTGAGGAAGTGGTAGGGAGGCTGGCGGGAGACTAACCCACGCCGGGGCTGCGAGGAGCCTCCTCTCTCCCTAGACCTCAAGGCGAAATGCTACCATGGCCGCGGGGTAAGCTACCGCGGCACCGCCCAAACTACGCTCTCGGGCGCGAAGTGCCGGCGGTGGGCCTCAGAGGCCACCTACTGGAACCTGACAACAGAGCAAGCGCTGGCCTGGGGACTGGGCGACCACGCCTTTTGCCGGTGTGTGGGGTGGGGCGGGCGACCCTTGCATCCCAGGGTGCTCCGGGGCTCCAGCGCTCGAACCGCGCCCCTTCTTGTGGTTGCAGGAACCCAGAAAATGACATCCGCCCTTGGTGCTTTGTGTTCAATGGCGACCGGCTAAGCTGGGAATATTGCCATTTGGCACCGTGCCAGGCCCTCACCCAGGAGATGCCTCAGATTTGGACTCTGGCACAGGACACCGGGCCCCAGGACTTCCCCTTGCCTTCGTCTTCGGTTCTGCAGAAGCCTCAGCCCACGCGCCAGAGCCCGCCTCAGTCCTCGGCCCCAGGTAGTTGGGAGGCGGTGGGAAGTCCGAAAGAAGAGAGCTTGAGGAAGCGAAGTAAGTTCTGGGTGGTCGTGGGTTTCCCGGTGCTCAGCCTGGGATCTCACTTCCTTTCAAGTGGCACACAAACATCCGATTAGCCTGACCACGACCCACCAGGAGGACCTGGTCAGCTGCGGACAGCGGCTCCGGAAACGGCTGTCCTCCCTGAGCCGCATCGTCGGGGGACTGGTGGCACTACCTGGGGCACACCCCTACATCGCCGCGCTGTACTGGGGTGAAAATTTCTGCGCCGGCAGTCTCATCGCCCCCTGCTGGGTGCTGACCGCGGCTCATTGCCTGCAAAACCGGCGAGTACTGCC